AGTCCGCTCAGCGTATAAATATCTGTATGCATAACAACAAACACAGATTCTTTGGTGAGTGATAATGTGACCGAGGGAGAGGATGTAGTCTAAATAATGTGGGCCAGAGGACTGACCCCACCACAGCTGACTGTGTGAGTCCGGGGTCTTGCTTTCCCGATGGAGACATACTCACATGGGTCAGGGAGGTAATACATCTCGTATAGATGGATATATAGGAACACACACAAAGATTAAAGTCTTTTTATAAACTCACAACACAAGTTCATAGAACTGAGTACATAAGTTTGAGATGTGGTGTAACATGTTTTTATGTGCCACTTGAATAAAAATACACAGCTGTACCATCACTGACAGCTTTGTCCCTACGTGTGAATATATGTGTACGTCATGAAGCTGTGTGTTGGGTGTTTCAAGGTTCAAGTGTTCTTTATTGTCATTTCCATCACATGTGGTACATGAGGTGGAACTAAGTTGTGTACTTAAGGTCCCAGTTACACCAATAGCAAAAATAAAAAGAATAAAAAAAGAAACAGTATACAATGATCTAAGACATACGCTAAACACTAATAATGTCAAATAATACGGTGTATTAAACAGCAGCCTGCACATGAGTCTGTAGTGAGCAGATGGGTATGAATACAGCAGCTTAAAGGCAAGAGATCAGCAGCATGGATAATCAGCAGCACAGACAAAGTGACATCACCAATCAAAGTGGCATTTCAGTGATTATTCTGGTTAGAATCGGCGCAGCGAGGAAAGCGTTAAGGAACGAGGAAACTTTAGCCCCAAACAGGACTGGAAATCTGATTAGTTCCTCCACTTTCATCTGTCATAAATCTGCCATCTGGCACTGGGAAGATCAGTAAAGACTCAACTTTATATTTCACTCTTACAGGACAGATGGGGATGAAGGGTGGGGTGGGGATGGGGGACATCAAACCATACAGCTGAGAAAACTGAACTGTAATGAGTGCTCGCCCCATCTCATTCCCATTTCCCTGCATCATGAAGGACCCCACTCACCCAGCACACACACTTTTTGCCCTGCTCCCCTCAAGAAGGAGGTTGAGGAGCATCAAGTGTAGAACCACTAGACTGAGGAACAGCTTCTACCTTGAGGCTGTTAGACTCATGAATCTCTAACCATAAACAGAAGTCCAAACAGGAAATGACAGAAACGCCTGGCACACTGTGGCAGTGTGTGTAAAGGTCAGAGGCCAGAGAAAGGTGTGAGTAAGCACATACAGTGGTTAAGCTTCTATTTTAGCTCTTTATATCATTTATATTTCAGCTTTTAACAGAAAGCAGAGACATTTTTTGATGAGCTGTTATGTATTATGGGATTGCACAGATATTATGATGATAATGTATTTTTGTGACTCTGTATAAAAGGTCAATGATAAATTTGTAGAAAGTTAATAAACACCTGTTGGTTCTCTTACAAGAAGTTAAACATTATATTTTAGCTAACACTATGTTTTTACAACTACACTTTACATTGTTTTTTTAAGTTTAGGCCATAACAGATTTTCATAAAAATGCTCTAGACAAGTTATAAACAATTCATTAATCCAGTGTAAAACTGCAAATTGGCACTTGCTTTTCCTCAAACAATGAAACAATGACATATTTTAAGCATTTGATATGTTTACTATGTTTCGTTGTGAACAATATGTGAGCATATGAGATTCTGAAATGATTGCCTTTTGTTTTTATTGACCTTTACATAACATTCTAGCTGTTTGGAATTTGGGTTTGTTTAATTCTAGATTTGGATTTTGATGTTTAATGTGGAATGAATACAAAAAGTAAAATATCCACAAACAAAGGTGTTTAGAAAGTTGAATAAAACTAAATATCATTCATTGTTTCATTATTTCTTGAAGTTAAAATCTGACTGAAAAGAAAAGGGAACAATTTAGACTATTTCGTTCAACCAGATATTGCACTAAAGAAGTTTTATTATTGAACGCCATCAAAGGTGATTAGGCAATAATGTATTTCTTGTATCTGTGTGGAAGAGAGCGTGTTTGTCTGTACCGTTAGCAAAATATCTTAAGAACCACTGAACAGATTTGATGAACAACAAGTAATCACTGGTTTGGCATCTATGACTGATTAACTTTTGTAGTCACCAGAATTGAGGATTGTTAGAGTTGTCATATATTCAATTCAGTTTATTTCTAAAGCTTCAAGTCTCAACAGAGTCGTCTCAGGGACTGAACAGAAACATTCATGTATAAAATAATAATTGAACATTATTTATCTGAGGAGCAGCTTTGAGTTTAACTCTCATCTTGAACAAGCATGAAGGCGACAGTGAAAGAAAAACTCCCTCATGAGGAAGAAACCTTTAACAGAACCAGGATCAGGACAAGAGGACCATCTGCTTCGACCGGCTGGGTTTGGTAAGAACAGATACACAATGGCAGGTCAAGAATCACATGTTAATATAGAAACAGTATCAAATGAAAACTATTCAATTTTAACAATTCATTTAAGGAAATGAGGTCATGTTCCATGTTCCACGCCTCACTTGTCTATGTAGCTGCCTTGAGCTGTGGCCGCAAGGTTGTCGGTGCTTCTCGCGGTGGCCATCCACAAACTCAGTGGTGGACACCTCGGGTTAGGGAGGCTGTCAAGCTGAAGAAGGAATCCTATCTGGCCTTGTTGGCCAGTGGGACTCCAGAGGCAGCTGAGGAATACCGGAGGACCAAGCGGTCTGCTGCCTTGGCTGTTGCTGAGGCAAAGGCTCAGATGTAGGAGGAGTTCGGTGAGACCTTGGATAGAGACTCTTGGTCAGCTCCAAGGAAATTCTGGCAAACCATCAAGCGGCTGAGGAGGGGAAAGGAGTACTTTACTAACACTGTGTTCACTGAAGGTGAGGTGCTGTTGATCTCAAGCAGTGATGTTGTTGGGAGGTGGAAGGAATACTTCACCTTCTCAATCCCACCGGCACGTCTTCCATGGAGGAAGCTGAGTCGGGGGATTTGGGGTTGATCCATCCATAACTATGGCTGAGGTCGCCGAGGTAGTTAAAAAGCTCAGAGGCAGCAGGACTCCGTGAGCGGATGCGATTCACCCTGATTTCCTTAAGGCTCTGGATGTTGTGGGGCTGTCTTGGTTGACACATTTCTGCAACGTTGTGTGGACATCAGGGGCAGTGCCACTGGACTGGCAGACTGGAACATTGTACAATCTGAAATGATTTTTAACGACCAAGGAGTGGGTTGAATCCCGCTGTCCCCCTGCTGCACGTTAGTGGACTCCATTCAGAAAGGGTTAACTAACTAGCTTGCTGTACGGTGGCCTACAAGGCCAAACTCTGTGGTGATGGGTGGACACGTAATGTGATATGCAGTATGCTCGGGAGTTGTAGCAGGGAAAAAAAAACTTAAATGCATTTTAAAATCTATTTATGGGCCTTTAGAATCGATTCAGAGTCTCCAGGACTAGGAATCTATATTCTTTAATCGATCTAGATTTTTTCTGCACCCTAATTCAGAACACATACTCTGCTAATATACAATCTGAGATTATCACATGAGAGATTTTGACCAAGATTTCAAGCAGGTTATACTAAAACCACTATAATTCTGTCATTTCTCACCATGATATGATCTCAATCTAAAACTCTGGACTGAAAGGTGGTGAGCGATATGCATTCCTTCAAAAATGCTAGGCCTTAAAGTTATACATCTAACACATACGTATTATAGATTTTTTTTTTACAGAGGTGACTTTATGTCCTGTATGGCATGCAACAAATGGTGTACAGTAGTCCCTCGCTACTTCGCGGTTCGTTTATCACAGACTCGCTCTATCGCGGTTTTTCAAAATAAGAGTGGACATGACACACAACTGTTTTATTGATTGATGAGCTGCACGATCAGCATGGATTTTTTATTTAAATTAATAATTTTAAATTATTTAGCACCTGCTGCCTTTGTGCAGCCCTTACTGCAGGATAAACTTCCTGCTGCAGATGATCAGCTGTTCTCCATGAAGAGCGGGGAAGTGGGCGTGGCCAAGAGAGCTTGCAGGTGGCTGATAGCAGTGGCAGAGAGGAGTCAGACAGTTAAAATCATGACGATCAGTCAGAGAGTCAGTCATGTATAATGTACAATATTATATAATATTGCATATTATTCATGTATAATATTCTGTGCTCTTCTAGTGTTTAGAGTTTAGAACATTGTTTAGAATATTGCAAGACTGTGGG